AGCTCTCTATGTCAGATAAAACAATTTAAGCTAGCTCTGTGTCAGATAAAACAATTTAAGCTAGCTCTCTGCGTCAGATAAAACAATTTAAGCTAGCTCTCTGTGTCAGATAAAACAATTTAAGCTAGCTCTCTATGTCAGATAAAACAATTTAAGCTAGCTCTCTATGTCAGATAAAACAATTTAAGCTAGCTCTGTGTCAGATAAAACAATTTAAGCTAGCTCTCTGCATCAGATAAAACAATTTAAGCTAGCTCTCTATGTCAGATAAAACAATTTAAGCTAGCTCTCTATGTCAGATAAAACAATTTAAGCTAGCTCTCTGTGTTAAATAAAACAATTTAAGCTAGCTCTCTGCATCAGATAAAACAATTTAAGCTAGCTCTCTGTGTCAAATAAAACAATTTAAGCTAGCTCTCTTTGTCAGATAAAACAATTTAAGCTAGCTCTCTTTGTCAGAGAAAACAATTTAAGCTAACCTTCTATGTCAGATAAAACAATTTAAGCTAGCTCTCTGTGTCAGATAAAACAATTTACAACAAAAGTGCATATCTAGATTTCAAAACATATGACTATGTAACATTTTGAATGTTGAGCATGAAATCTTTTTGCAAAATTAAAATATACAGGAAAGAAAAGCATTCATTTAAACCAGATGGTTGTAGGGGTCTTCAGATTGTAGATTAATCTTCTTTACAGTCATTCTGTTTTGTGAATGTTTGTTGGAGCACTAATAAGTTCCAGAATTGAAAATTCATCAACTGTATGGTAGTTGATGGTGAAATGTTTACCTATCGGTGTATCTTGGTTCTCCAGTTTAAGATGGTTTAAATGTTCTTGTGCTCCATCACTGATTCGGCAGCCTTTTTGCCCAGTGTATTCAGTGGTACATGTAAAGGACTGTCTTATGTTGAAAGTTCTGTTCTTTCCTTGTATATGTGTAGTGCTGTTTATATGTGTGGGCAGGGGATGCACCTATTTAGTGCCTGGAGTGCCATTTTGTTTTTGTTTAAGGATTTCTTTTTGGTTTTTGTCATGTCTGTAAGAAATAATGGGTGGGTCCTTGAAAAGAGATTTAATGGTAGGATCTTCAGTATGTATTGTGTAATTGTTTAGTATAATATCTTTGATCTTCTTGTTGGTCTGGTGGTATGTTAGCACAAGTGGAATACGATCGATGTGTTCTTTCTTGGTAGGGTTGAGTGGATATCTGAAGTATCTTTGGTGGCTGCATCATGGATAAGACAGTCCCCATCTGTCCACATATGAACAACACCAAACAGACTGCCAACTTGGTGATCGAGCTAAAGAACACCTGAATGTTATTGAACTACAAAACCAAGAAAATTTCATACTCAACATTTAAAATCTTACGTATGCAATTTTTTAAATCCTGAGCTTGTGTTTTTGTTGTAAGCTGTATGATCTGATGAAGAGTGGCTTTTGTTGTAAGCACTATGATCTGATGAAGAGTGGCTTTTGTTGTAAGCACTATGATCTGATGAAGAGTGCCTTTTGTTGTAAGCGATATGATCTGATGAAGAGTGGCTTTTGTTGTAAGCGATATGATCTGATGAAGAGTGGCTTTTGTTGTAAGCGCTATGATCTAATGAAGAGTAGCTTTTGTTGTAAGCACTATGATCTAATGAAGAGTGGCTTTTGTTGTAAGCTCTATGATCTAATGAAGAGTGGCTTTTGTTGTAAGCTCTATGATCTAATGAAGAGTGGCTTTTGTTGTAAGCTCTATGATCTAATGAAGAGTGCTAGTTTAAAATGTCATCCTTTTAAAATAAAAATATAAAAAACTTGGCAAATGTTTATCCTATTTTTAATTTCAATATCTTTACTGCCTATGTAGTTAACTATATATATATTTTTTTGAATGAAGAATGTGATAAATTTTGCCTGTATTTCTTTCTCTTAGAAGCTCAACAGTCTCATATCTGTGAAGTTATAATATCTATACAAGTCAGTTAGAAGCTCAACAGTTTCATATTTGTGAAGTTATAATATCTATACAAGTCAGTTAGAAGCTCAACAGTTTCATATTTGTGAAGTTATAATATCTATACAAGTCAGTTAGAAGCTCAACAGTTTCATATCTGTGAAGTTATAATATCTATACAAGTCAGTTAGAAGCTCAACAGTCTCATATCTGTGAAGTTATAATATCTATACACGTCAGTTAGAAGCTCAACAGTCTCGTATCTGTGAAGTTATAATATCTATACAAGTCAGTTAGAAGCTTAACAGTTTCATATCTGTGAAGTTATAGTATCTATACAAGTCAATTTAATTAGCTTATAAAGAAAATTATCATGAGAAAAAATTTTTTTCTTTGCATTTATTTATATATTTCTTTCCAAAACATTGAAATAAAAGCTCGTGGCATAAGGATTACAGAGAAGAAATGAATGTTTAGAAATAAAAGAAAGTAACGTAGTTTTCACTTCTCTTTATTTCATGAAAATGTTGGTGAAACATAATTCATCTTGCAAATCATCACATCCAGCATTTTATACTCTATAGCATTTGTTTCTTGGAGAAAACAGGGTAGCAGAATTGAGGATAGATATTTTGAAAGTGCAAGGCTTTTTTATTGTACTATACTGGGCTTTTTGGTAAGGTAAAACTTTTAACTTGCCAAACTCATTACTGATGATTAAGAGAACAAAAGTTTCTTTCCTTGTAAGATCTAGCCACTGGACAGGAGTTTGGTATTTAAAACGTTTACAAGGAAAGAAAGTTTTGTGGAAAAAGTAGAGACTAATTACTTATTATTGAGTTTTGTGAATTATGATCTATCTAGAAATGTATCACATAATAGAAATATTTTCTGTGTAATAATCATCTTTGTTCAAATATTTACTTCTTAGGCTCAAGAAAGACACAGAGAACTCCAGAAAGCTCGTGCTCTCTTGTCGTATAGAGAAGCAAAAGCTAGAAGACAGAATAAAATCAAGAGCAAGAAGTAAGGGGAAGTGATACAGCATGTTTATTGGTGCATTGTTTAAACAGATCAAAGAAGTATTGTTTAGTGTAGAGGGAAGTGATACAGCATTGTTTAAACAGATCAAAGAAAAGTTCACAAGTATTGTTCAGTGTAGAGGGAAGTGACACAGCATAGTTATTGGTGCATTGTTTAAACACATCAGAGGAAAGTTCACAAGTATTGTTCAGTGTAGAGGGAAGTGACACAGCATAGTTATTGGTGCATTGTTTAAACACATCAGAGGAAAGTTCACAAGTATTGTTCAGTGTAGAGGGAAGTGACACAGCATAGTTATTGGTGCATTGTTTAAACACATCAGAGGAAAGTTCACAAGTATTGTTCAGTGTAGAGGGAAATGATACAGCATAGTTATTGGTGCATTGTTTAAACAGATCAAAGAAAGTTCACAAGTATTGTTCAGTGTAGAGGGAAGTGAGACAGCATAGTTATTTGTGCATTATTTAAACAGATCAAAGAAAAATTCACAAGTATTGTTCAGTGTAGAGGGAAGCTTGTTCAACACTCATCAAGTTGAGTACCTGATGATGACAAAACTTTGTTGAAATGTTGTACATTTGCTATTATGTTAAACTTATATTGAAGTTTTTCTTCATTACCCATTCAAGCTGTCTCCAACCATTATTGTTCATACTTGTTACATTGAAGCTTGTTCACACTCATTACATTGAGGCTTGTCCGTACTCATTACACTGAAGTTTTTTGTCAAACATGTCATTTTTTCAGAGGACTATTAAGTAGTGTAAGCATTAAGTGGACTGGCTTTTCCTTGTTAAACAAAGACAAGAAATTTGAAAACAGGATAAGTTTATCTTATAGCAGATAAACTAAAATTAAAAAAAACTTGTAAATAATGTACTTGGCCATTATTTAGTGTGTTAGTGAAAATCAAGAAAAAAAACTTTATGATATGTCTTCTTTGCTATCTCATGGCCAATACATCTTTAATTTAACCTCTTGTTTACCATTAAGATGTAACTCTTATATCTGCTGTTTGTTCCCAACTTCTATGTAACAATACTTTGATACGGGGTTTTCACATTTAATCTAATGATATATATGGTTTTTAATAAAATATACAATGAAACTTTTAAGTTTCAGTGTATTCTGGCATTTTAAGTTTTATTAGAAGAGAGAAGAGAAACTCCAGTGTGTTCGTCAGTGAAGAAAGTTTTAAGAGTGATGTAAAATATTTATCTTGATTGGTAATAGTTTGGGTGGTCGTAATGTGGAAAACCAAAACCTCTGCTGTATTTTTTGTTCTTGAGTCTTAAAGTATGGGAAATCATTTGATTAAATTTGTATTCCACATTTGGAACTTTATTTTCAAAGGTTTTAAAATTACTTGCATTTGATGAATTTCTTACAATTACGTTTTGTAGCATTTAGGTCAGTGTTATAAATTTCCCTTACGTTTTGAGTTTCTCTAATTAGGGCTGCCTCTTCCTAAGAATAACAAACATTCTGAATTCTAAGGAAGATCAAAATCTGCTTTAAGTGTAAATTGTTGGTACTATTTTTCTGAGACTTTCTAATTAAAATTTGTTTTTCTTATACTTAAATATCTTTCAAGTTTGAAAATCTGTATCTTGTGTGTGATAAGTTGGTACATTAACTTGTATTATGTTATCTTGTAACCTTGTTGAATGTGCTTTTGTTGATTCATTGAAAAGTTGTGGTGTTAGAAAGAGCATTTCTCTGTATTATAATGCTTTTATAAGTTGTTTGAAGATTTATATAAAATTTGCATACATCTCTATTTTTAAAAATTCCATTAGATATCATCGGATATTGAAACGAGAACGTTTAAAGAGAGATTTAAAAGATTTTGAAGAATTAAAGAAAACAAATCCTGAATTAGCACTGGAGAAATTGAAAGATTTGGAACGGCAAAGAATTTTGGTGAGTTTACACATATGAGTAGTTTTATTTCTGCATCATTTCTATGTTAAGACAGTAAATATAAAGTTAATTATTTGAAAATGTGAGTTAGCTAGTTTATATGCAATTCAAAAAAGATTGTTATGAAGAATGAAGATTAAATTAAAAATATATGAAATTCAAGGTTTATCTACTACTCATTGGAATGATATCAATCGTAATTACTTCTGTAATCATCATTAATATAGGTTGTATCATATGCTCAGCTAATTCTGACATTCAGTACTTTACAATAAAAATGTTTTTGTAATTCTTGTTGTTGTATACTGTTGTCTCACATAAATCAACAACAGTACTTGAAGTTGACAGCTGTTATAGGTGTCGTAAGTAAGTTATACTCTATTATTTTTTTATTGTTACTTTCATTAACCCTGCATTAGTCTTCTGTAAAAAGTTTCTATAGTCACTTTTCTGGGGTCCGAGTGGACTACATCATAAAAATTAATTTAGAAATATTTAATTAATAATAAGTAATGATAATAATAAACTACTATTTTGGAAACATTGAAAATCTTTTCCTTTATTAATAAATAAATGAACAACAGTATTGGTTAGAATGTTTATATATCTAATTTTATTAATTTTTTATTATTATACTTTTATTATATTGTTTCGCATTGTTCTAAAACATACCTCCTCTCACAATACAGCTATTACTTGACTGCCAGGGTTTCTTCCTTTGCCCATCTAAGCATTGGTCTGATTTTTTTCTCGCTTGCTCCAGTTTTTTATACCCCACTTAATTACCCTTGGTGATATCTGTCTCGTGACACTCTCCACCTGCGTCAGTGCACCCTCTATTCTGGTATTGTATATAAGCACTTTGTTCAGATAATGTTCTAACTTTTTCTTGACAATGTGTTCACTAAAAGTTTTCTTTGTATTACCCAGTTGATTTTCGATAATTTTTCTTTTTCTATTTGATAAGCCGATATCTGGCATGAATTCCTGGATTACTATTTCTGGCACAGAGGCAATTCAGGTTCCTCCTATCCCACCTCTGATATCTAGCATCACTCAATAAGTGTGTTTGTGTGTGTGTGGGGGGGGGGGGTAGTCACTCTCAGTTGAGAATGTCAATGATCTTATAGTAGTGAGATGGAGACATATATTTGGTTTTGGTGGTGTTCCTCCAGGGAACTCTGAGGCTGCAATTGAGGATAGTCCTGAACATTCTGGAGAGAATTTAGATTTGCTTTTTCCTGTACCTTCTTTAATTCTGTTGGCTTCTCAGGAGGCCACTTTGGGATAAGATTGCTTAGGTTTTTTTTTTCTTCAGTTTGTTTATTGAGTGTGTGATGTTTCCCCAGTTGCTTTTGATCTTGCACCTTACTTGGTGGCTGAAAGGTATGGGAATACTTAGTTTTCCTTCTATCCACTGACATTGTGGTTCATGCAGGGAGGTGTACTGCTCATTTACATGAAGGGACAGCTGTGTCTTGTATGTCACGGTTGTCAGAACTATGTGATTTAACCTACCACCGCTAGGTGAAAGCATATTCCGACTCTCAAAGAATACATCAGCTTCTAGAAATTAGGGGTTCTATAGATCACTTTGTAGTTAACCTGAATAGATCAATGCACCTTGGTGGGACAGGGGTAACTCTAAAAGTCCAACATGTTGTTTTTGTAAAACTAAACTGTTGAAAGACTCTCAGGATCACTAAGTCCATTGATAACGAGCTGGATCCATTGTTAACAAGTACATTGGTTCATTGTTGGCTTCTATATTCGTTCCTGTTGTTGTTGTCGTCATCTCAACTTTCATCAACTCCTACAGGAGGTTATAGCTCTGCCTCTATTTGTGGTTCCTGACCCCCGACATCAGCTCCATGGTCCATTGGTACCCAGAATAAATTCTGTCCATACCCAAGGGTTCCACTGCTCGATCGTAATTCTGCCAGCAGTGTTGGTAATTATTGTATGCCTTCTGGGTCTCAGAGGGCTCGGTTCCAAGAATATCTGGATGTATGGTAAACCTTAACCATGAATTCATGGGCACTACAGGTCCTTGAGTCAGGATTAGTCATTCAGTTCACATCTTCATCACCATTATCCCCTTATCCTATAGTGTTTCTATCTCCTGCAGTTCCTCAGATTTTGTAACTTAGTTCTTAGGGCTATCAGAGTTTGGGAGGTAGAGAGAGAGAGAGAGTTGTCTCAGATCTTCTGAGGTTTTATTCCCATCAGTTTGTTGGGCCCAAGAAGACAGGGGATTGGTTTCCAATCCATGATTTTTCTCATCTACGTCAAGTCCTAGATTCTTCAAGGTTTGCAAGTGACTCATTCCTCACTCTGAGTTGGCATTTTTTTACTAGGATTGTGGATGTCCAATTCTGATGTAGTTGCCTCTTTTCTGCACATTGGTTCTGCCAAATCATATGTACACACACTATTTCCTGGATGACTGGTTACTGCTGGCACCATCTCATCAATTGTCAGAATGTTACACTCGGATTCTACTTTCAGAAACAACCAGGGCAGGCTTCATTCTCAGAGCTTAGACATCTATTCTTGCTCCAACTCAATATGTCATCAGCTTGGGTATTTTTTTTAACCTGTATCTCAGTCAGCCTTAGCTGACTCCCATTCAGCTCCATGTTATGGAGCAAGAAGCTTGACTCTTACTCTCCACTCCTTCTCCCAGTGCATAGATGGTTCTTTCTCTCTCTTGGGAATGTGGGCATGCCTTTGGGATGAGTGCACAAGAGATCATTTCAGTAGTCTTTATGTGGCCAAGGGATCATAAATAACTGGATTTCCCAGTTTCCTTATTCAGGATCATTCTTTGATATCGAGTAGTTGTTAGATCAGGTCAATACTAAAATATGCGTTCCTCTCCCGCCACCTCATCCAGAGCTCCATCTCTTCATGAATGCTTTGTTTCAGGGATGGGGTACATATCTCAACAGTCAGGAATTCCAGAGCCTACGCATGGATGACGAGGCTTCCCTACACAATGTTTTAGGCCTTCTTGCTCTTCCAAAGGTGATGCCTCATGGTCTGAGCTTATTAAGGAGAAAGTCAGCAGGCTTCACTATGACAATTTCATGATGAAGTCTTGCATTTTCCGTCAAGGGAGCACTTGGTACAGGGCTCCTTGTTTTCGAACCTTGGATCTCCTTTCTATTAGCTTTCCATGTTCCACAGGTGATGACTGTGGTAGCAGATCAATTGTCTCAACAGAAACAGATTCTCCCAATAGTATAGATGCTGCATCGCAAGGTTTTTTGTTGGATTGGCTCTCATTTTGAAACAGTGATGATTGGCGGGTTGTCCACTCTTTGTTTGGAACACCCAACTACTGGCAATTTGTATTCATTCTATGAGGATGGGACGAGATTCCAACTTTTGGCCCTCCCCCCCCCCCCCAATTCATATGTTACCCAAGGTACTAAATATGATTTTTTTCGAACCCATTGTTGGGTACTGTTGATAGCACCAGATTGGCAGCTACTCCTTTGTCTCTGCTTCTATGGTGCCTTCAGTGTGACCCGTCTTCCACTTCCTCTTTGGCCATCTCTGTGGAGACAGCCATGATCTGACATGGTACACCCAGTTATCCAGAAGCTCAATCTTCAGGCATAAATATTATGCAGTCTTTTGCACAGCATTGGAGTTTAATTTCTAAGGTTGCCATCTATTTGTCTCAGTCTTTGCTTAGTCCTGCGATGAACATTTATAAAAAAAAAATGGCACTCATATCGGCAATTGTGTATTAAGAGGAGGTTGAACTTGCTTCAGTCAGAAGTGAAAACCATAATTCGTTTTTTAACCTGGCTCTTTGGCTAGGGTTTTGCATCTTCCACAATCAACTTGTATAAGGTGGCCTTAACAACTACCATTCGATACTCGAGACATTCTTTGAGTCCCCAGTACTCTCCGGTCTCCTTAAGTCATTTTGGGTCCTTTGTCCCGAACAACCATTCCAGTTACCTAACTGATCTATTAAGGTTACATTGCATGCCCTTTCTCAACACCTGTTGTGACCTTAGCCTCGTGTGCTATGTATCACCTTTCCTTGAAGGTTTATTTTTCATTGCTACTGACATACTGTTAGACAGGGAATGGGATAAATCCTTTTCACTGATTCATCTGATGACTATTTCTCATTTTTATGATAGATCAAATTTCGATATTTTGTTATGTCCAGTGAGTGTCTTGAAGGTTTTGTTGCCGGCACTAATTCCTTTAGAGATTCTAGACAATAACTGTTATTCATTGGGATCATTTAGTTCCCAGGATTTATCCCTGGTTACATTGATGAGGTGAGTATGAAAATGATCCATATCGTTTATTCTGGGCTGTCTTTGAAGGCGAGGAGTCTTCTGCGAATCACGTCTAATCAGATTCGTCACGTTTCTATGTCCTTAGCGGCCCAGTTGAACTGGCTGCTGGAGAACATTGTGTGGACCTCCTCCAATACTTTTATCTCATATTATTTGCATGATCTGGCAGTATCATCTCCTCCAAGGGTTTTTTGACTACCCCCTGTAACTATCTTAACCACTTACACTAGATTATACAGAGGGGTGATTATTTTCATTGCTATGCTGTCTCTACTTTACCTTTCAGGGTCCCTTACCTTTGTTTTCACAAGATCCTACTCTGTTGCAAGTGTTGCCCAGGCAGTTGTGCTTTTATTAAACCAATTCTGCACTAACAACCACAAATTCAACATACTTTATGTTACAACAGGCTCTTTAGAAATGAGGTGTTCCATAAGACCACCTAGAGGCTTAGTTGGTGGTATTACTGTTCTGTGCTGGACCACCACTCATGGACTATTATGAAATAAAGCATAAAGGGATGCTTCTCATCCCTTTCAATCATTGCATTGAATAAATTGGGGCTGGTTTGCTTTTAAAAACTTAAGGAATTTGTTTCTCCTATTGCACTGTTTACAGAGCACTGTTTCTCAAGACTCCCTAATGTGCATTACCCCCTTCAGATTCTACACACCCAGTTTTCAGTCATTGGGGTGGTGGACAGAGACTTTTCCTCCAGAGTGTTAGAGTGAATTTTCTCTGCTCTTGGAGAAGAGGGCAAAGTTGGGGCCCTCCTACCGAGATCAGGGGAAAATATCCAGGGACTTTGGAGCCTAATCGTAATACTGGTTCATATTTGATGCTCAGCTATCAGGGTGGGTTGAATGTGGCCCTTCTTTTTGATCAATATTGGTTCAATACATTATTCATGGAAGAGGGTCCATTGTCTCCTTGTAATTCCAAATGCAGAGTGGTCCCATCCTAGGTCCTTGGTTGAGCACAGTCTGTTCCACATCCTCCCCATAATTCCAGAGACAAGTGGAATTTATCTTGTCCAGACTGTATATGTTTCATCAGGTTGAGTAAAGCATACAAAATTCTGTAATTCCGAACCTGGGCTGTTGCCTTTTGGACTTCTTCAGGTCGAGGAGAAGGTTTGCTCATTTCATTATTGCTTACATTATCACCATGATTCCAGTGGCTTGGAACACATCACTCTATGGCTAAAGGTTGGGGTCTACTCATAAGTGTATATATGGCGATCCAAATTTCTTAGTCACCAATGTGGGATATAGGGACCCTGGCCCTATAATTCCAACCCCGAGCAGTTAAACCTCAGCTACCTGGTTGGGGCCTGGCCAGTAGTGATGGCAGATCACATCACATTCCACCTGCAGTACATGACTTAGGTTCCAAGTGAAGAGCATACCTGTTCTCCATGTAGTGCGGTTCTCGCACAAGGGTGCCAATCTATTGTTGACACACCTATGATCTATGCAGAACTTTCTGTATGGATAATGCCCTCGCAGGCCCCTCCACCTTATCAAGGTGGGATTCTAGCTATAAGTGGGAGTGGAGGTAAGTATGTTTTGGAAGTTAACATTTTCTCAATATCAAAATATTTGCAGTAATACTTGACTCCTCTCTCACACTCCCACTTTTCCTCCCCACTAAGAGCTAGTGTTAGAGACTGCAGATTGAGTCAGTCTCAAAAAAGTGATAACATTATTTGAATGAAGTGCTTTTATACAGTACCAGGATAGAGGGTGCATTGACATAGGTGGAGAGTATCACAAGACACATATTGCCAAGGGCAATTAAGTAAGGTATAAAAGACTGGAGCAAGCAAGAAAAACTCAGACCAATGCTTAGATGGGCAAAGAAGAAACCCTGGCAGTAGAATAATAGCTGTAGTGTGAGAGGAGGCAAGTATTATTGGAAATGCATTTTTTGATTTCAGAAAATATTAACTTTAGGACTAACCTAAATCTCGTGAGATATTATTGGGATTACTGCCAAAAATATCATTAACAGTATGGGTACCCAACTAATGAAACAATGCATTGTAATCTTTATAAGTAAGAAAGCAAGAAAAGTATATTTACTTAATTAGCTACTGATGTACAGGTTGATTTTTAGCTTCATTCTAAGTAGGTAGCTTGCTTTGTTTGGAAACTAATACCACTCATCATAGTTGGCTTAGTATTGTTTTGAACATAAGCATAATGGTTACTGTGGTTTGTTTTTGTTGCTGATTGTTGACAAGACATTGGAAACCAGCTTTTTGACAATCAAACGTTAACTTTCAAATTTTTTGACTGCACATATAAACAGCATTTCAGACAGGCATTTGCCTTGCCATATAGCCCAGCTGATGAGTTTGGGTATTAAATTAAATGCCTCTTTGGCAAAGAATTGTGGGATGGAAGAGATGCTAACATTATTTGATATGAACTCTGTAAAGAACAAATTAAGATGAAAGTAAATAGTAAAAATGGTAGTCTAACTTATTTTGTATCACAAACATTACATTAACAATAACAGTAGTGTAACAAGAAACTACAACATGTCTTTATCACAATGTCATTCTGTACTTTAAGGTGTGTGTTGTATCACAAACATTACATTAACAATAAACAGTATAACAAAAACTAAAACATATCTTTATTACAATGTCATTCTGTACTTTAAGGTGTGTGTTGTATCACAAACATTACATTAACAATAACAATAGTGTAACAAAAAACTACAACATGTCTTTATCACAATGTCGTTCTGTACTTTAAGTTGTGTGTGTTGTATCACAAACATTACATTAACAATAACAGTAGTGTTACAAAAAACTACAACATGTCTTTACCACAATGTCGTTCTGTACTTTAAGGTGTGTGTTGTATCATAAACATTACATTAACAATAACAGTAGTGTTACAAAAAACTACAACATGTCTTTATCACAATGTCATTCTGTACTTTAAGGTGTGTATTGTATCACAAACATTACATTAACTATTACACTAGTGTTACAAAAACTACAACATATCTTTATACCAATGTCATTCTGTTCTTGAAGGGGTGTGTTTATCAAATATTGGGACATAATATTTGGATAAAAATATAGAAACAGTTGGTGTTAGTCATTATGAAGAATGTTTCAATAATTATTCATTGTCTTGACTGTTTTGTTATTGTATGCTTATTTCAAGTGAAGATATATAGACACATTTGGGTCACCATGAGATATAAGTTATTCAGAGTATGTAATTTTTAATATATTACTAAAATTACATAGTAATAGTATAGATCATGTTAAGCATGATTTAATGTTTGTTCTTGAGACAAGGTGCTAGAAATATCAAGTTTTAAAAGTTTCATTTTTTTCAGTTACTTTTTGGGAAATAATTTTTAATTTAGTTTTTTATTATTATTATTATTTCCCTTAGGAACGTGTGACATTAAAGCACAAATCTACAGGCAAATGGGCAAAGCAGCAAAAATTGAGGGCCAAGTATGATGAACAAGTGAGTTTTACTTGTTATGTAGCTGAATATTTCAATTTGTAATTTTAAAATTCTTGTTCTCAAATATTACCCAAAGCTTATTTCAATGGTTGAATTCTGTAATTTTAGAAAATGTCAGCCGAGGTTCAGGTTTATATTGCTCTAATATCCATACCTTGGATAATTACAAGATAAACTCCAGGTGTTTTTTAAAAAATTAAGTAATCCAACACCATAACCTAAACTGTAGGATTCCTTAGATAAAAATAAAAAATTCATTTAAAAAGTTTCTTTTTTAAGAAAGTATCGTATTTAATGCAAATCAGTATGTTTCCAAATTGTACCAAATTGATTTCAAATGTATGAAAATCTGAACTGTAATAGCCATATTTTATTGATTTAACAATTTCTTTTGTCATTTAAATAATTACCTTTCTGTATAATTTAAAAATTTTTCCTAAGTGACATATGTTTTTGTGAATTCCCAAATTAATTGAATTTCAAAAAAGCCCCAAAACTCAAGCACTTTGAATAGTTGAGTAAAAAATTCATTGCACATTTTGTATGTAATCATGTATGCTAACTTTTCTATAAGAATTGATGTCCCAAATAAAAGTATTCAATATTTTATTTTTTTTTTTTTTTTGGAAATCTTTATACTTGTAAAATATAGAGGAAAATGTAACTTGTTTCTCTAAGGATGAAGTCACACAAATTCCAGAAAAAAATAGCTGTTTTTTCCCAATTAGACAACATTCTGATCTGCTGTCACTTTACACAATCATATTTTACAATATTATAGCTGGACAGATATACGTTTGACATGACATTGAAAAGCATTCATCCACCTAATACATGGTTCATTTGTGTCCTTTCATTTGATTTGTTTTAACATGATCAATTGAAATTTCTGAATAAATAAAAATGTGTCAATTCAAAATAGGTATTCAGTATGCCAACAGACAATATACTGTAGAGTCACAGGGTGTGAAAAGATAATTAATTATATCAACAAGTTTGAAAAGTTTATTAGGTTGTACACTTTACACCAGTTGCATCAGTCTACCCAACTGTTTAATAGGTACCAGCAGGTAGCTAGGAGTTAACTTGCATTCTATCTGAGGAGATAGGTGCCTCCAGTGTTAACAATTGACTGGATAGGTGCCTACACTCTAGCTAATGAGATAGGTGCCTTCAGTGTTAACAATGGACTGGATAGGTGCCTACACTCTAGCTAACGAAATAGGTGCCTCCAATGTTAACATTGGACCGGATATGTGCCTATACTCTATATAATGAGATGGGTGCCTCCAATGTTAACAATGGACTGGATAGGTGCCTACACTCTAGCTAACGAGATAGGTGCCGCCAATGTTAACATTGGACCGGATATGTGCCTACACTCTATCTAACGAGATAGGTGCCTCCAGTGTTAACAATGGACCGGATATGTGCCTACACTCTAGCTAACGAGATAGGTGCCGCCAATGTTAACATTGGACCGGATATGTGCCTACACTATCTAATGAGATGGGTGCTTCCAATGTTAACATTGGACTGGATAGGTGCCTACAAACTATCTAATGATATGGGTGCCTCCAATGTTAACAATGGACTGGATATGTGCCTACACTCTATCTGAGGAGATAGGTGCTTCCATTTTTACCAACTTGTACCACTGGACAGCAGAGTTGAGTATTAGCCTTATGTGCCTTTCAAAGGAGGGACAAGAATCAACTTACTTATTTTACTTTATATAACTGACTGGCTCCTGAATTTATACGTTGTCACAGAGAATGGTTTGTATGTGTATGAAAGTCACTATCAATGGACCCAAGATATTTCCAAAGTTTACAGTATTATTTATTTATCACAGTCAATGGACCCAGATATTTCCAAAGTTTACAGTATTATTTATTTATTTATCACGATCACTGGACCAAAGTATTTCCAAAGTTTACAGTATTATTTATTTATCACAGTCAATGGACCAAAGTATTTCCAAATATCTGGGTACATTGACTGTGATAAATAAATAATACTGTAAACTTTCCATTGACTGATAAATAAATAATACTGTAAACTTTGGACCAAGATATTTCCAAAGTTTACAGTATTATTTATTTATCACACTCAATGGACCAAGATATTTCCAAAGTTTATAGTATTATTTATTTATCACGGTCAATGGATCAAGATATTTCCAAAGTTTACAGTATTATTTATTTATCACTATCAATGGACCAAGATATTTCCAAAGTTTACAGTATTATTTATTTATCAGTCAATGGACCAAGATATTTCCAAAGTTTACAGTATTATTTATTTATCATGGTCACTGGACCCAGATATTTCCAAAGTTTACAGTATTATTTATTTTTCCCCAACAGAGCAGGGAACAGTTGAGGGAGCAGTTGGAATTGAGCCGGCATTTGACAAAGAAAATTGTGGCTCCATCAGAGAGTGAGGAAGAAATTCCTCTAAATGACAAGACTTCAGAAGAGGACAAGTCCACTGATGCTGTTGAGAATCATTTCTTTTCATCTTCAAACCCATGGTTAAAACAAGCACCTTTAAAAATTAATGAATTAAACAGTATGAATGACAAAGTAGAAGAAAGTTGTGAAAAGGAAGAAGGTGTTTTAGAAAACATATGTCAAGATGGCATGCTTGAACAGTCCAAAGATGGTGATGACTGTAAGCAGTACTCAGAAAGCAAAGTCTCTCACTCTGTTAGCAATCCAGAACAACTGAATAGCTTCATATCCAAGAAGAAGCAGAAAAATAAAAAACAAAAAATTCTGAAAATATTGATGATATATTTGATTCACTCGAAAAGAAAATAGTAAAGAACAAAAGTCCGAGGAAAAAAAAGAGACTGTCATTGGATAGGAGAGAGTTTCATATTCCAGATGAAGATAATAAAGATGAAGAACCTCACATGGAAGAATGCTTAATTAATGAAACTTTAGTGCAGAAGCGAACACTAGAAGATTTTGAAGATATGTCAGAACCAACACCAAAGCCAGTTGAAATATGTTCTGATAAAAAAAACATTAAGTCCTGTTCTAAACATTCTGAGAATAAGGGAGAGTGTGCTGATGATTCTGAAGTCCAGGTTGATCCACAGAGTTTTGTGTGCGTCAGGACTCAAGATATCGACTCACAGGTACCACAGCTCCTTGATGGTGGTGATGAAGCAATAGATGAAGTTGAAGATGAACATAGAATGAATATAGTGGAAGCCTTTGCTGATGATGATGTTTTGAATGAATTCAGGTATGTACTTATAACAATGGGCTACTTTCAAAAGTATTTCAATAAATTTAAATAAAAATAGCCCTTTTCATTATGCAATTTTGATTACAAGAAAAATATGCATTGCAAAATTAATTTGCATAAATATCTTGTAAGGCAATTTGATGCACAGTTACGTATATTTTAGGAAAAATAACGGCTGATTTTTGTGTTATTACTATTATTATTACAACAAATTGGCATTCAAATGATAAATATTCATAATGTAATTTTTGGACAGCCAAGACAGTTTTCAGCTTCAGTTATCAGTTAGATTTGTTTTCAATTGTTCGTGCCGTATAAGATAAAAATTCTGCTGTTTTTGTTAATTATATTTTGTTAGTAATATATTACTAACTTTCATAAATTGTCTAAAATTTCTGATTTTAAATCTAATTTTGCTTTCACTTAAATAGAAGTGAATTGTTTGATACAGAAGTTTATTTAGTCACACAAAATATTCTTATGGTATTACATGTTATATACACATTAATATAAATATGTGTTACACAAAAATACCTTTTTACCTCTATTACAGTTTCTTTTTTTTTATTCATTTAATTTTTTTAGAGAAGAGAAGCGGTCAGTAATTGACCAAGATAAACCAAAAGATGTGAATATTTTTCTGCCAGGATGGGGCTCTTGGGGTGGGTCTGGAATCAAACCATCTAAAAGGAAAAAGCAGCGGTATGTAGTTGTATTTTGTTTTTCGTGGATTGTAAGGGTTTAACTGTTTGAATTTGATTGTTAGTTTATAAAACATATTTCTGTAATATTAATGTTACTGCAACAGCTTTGATTAAGGCTTATTTTGATTTTCAGTTCATAGCTTATAGCTTCTGGAATAATTTTATCAACAGGCAAATGTTACAACAAACAACAGAGGTGCTAAAAATTATAAAAATTCTGTTATTTTGGAAGTCATAAGGCAGTAATTATAGTTTTGCAGGAATGTAATGAAACTTTAAAGTAAACTATTAAAAGTATAACATTAGGTGAAGTTTTCAAGTTGAGGCTAGACTGTTTGGGATTAGTTAAAGTGGTTCAACAACTTAATTACCTCTCCTGTTAAACAAAATAAATAAAAATAAAATACTAATAATAATTATATATATGTATATATTGTTTCTTACTTTAACTTTGTCGGTCCACTGTTAAGTAAGTAGTCATTTTATATAAATTATTTCAAAATTAGCCTGAATATCTCAGTATTCATTCAAAAAAATTAAATTTTTATATCGTTATAATTTTCTAGGAAGCACACTGTAAAATTAAGAAATTATGGTTAATTAATTTAGAAAGAAAAGTTACATTTTATTATATTAAACAACAACTGTGATTTAAATAAGCTGTGGAAAGAAATCTTTGTTTTAATATCGTTTTAATATTTTACTCAAAATATTCCAATCATTTTTGATATTATATAAGTAATAATGCAGTAGAAGCTTTCAATAGAGTATTAATTGAAATGTGCATTTTTTCGTTTTTTAACCAAGAGGTGTTAATTTAATACTGACATAAAAGCATAAATACACATAACATTTGAATATATTGCAACACTTAATACTTACAAATGTAGTACTTTTTTCTACTTGATCTGTTTTATATTTAAAATCAAGAGTCATTTCATGTTTGTTATTTACAAATACTGATATTGTATGCACAAATGTTAATATTTTTTGCTTCCCTGGAAATAACCAAATTATAGGTTCCTAATAAAAGCACCACCTGGCCCTCCTAGAAAGGACCATACTTTGGGTAATGTGATCATAAATCAGAAAAAAGATGACAAGGCTTCCATACATCAGGTAAGATTAATTGTCTCAAAAGTATTTTTAATATTGCAGTTATTTTTTTGTGTATTTACTTTATACATAGAGGTCTTCAGCTCATTTTAGTGTTGTAGGATTTAAAAACAAAAATGAAATGCATCAAGTTTACAAATTTGGTAATTACAAACACCAAACAGCTATGCATCATCTTTCAATATGTTGTGTGACACCAAAAAGTCTTAAAATTGAACAACTTTGTATAAAAGTGAGCTTCAAAAACTATTTCTAAAAACAAAAAAAGGCTCCACTCCCAAGATTGTCTTACAGCTTTGTACTTGTAAAGAAAAGATCAAAGTCAAGACAGTTGCCTGAGAACTAGGATGCCTCCTTCTGTTTTTTATTTACCTGCTCTCACAGATAAAGTAATTCTCGTTTAGTGCTGCTATCTATATGCAAACATTTTTTTCACAAGCTCTGAGCTCTCACATACTCCATGATCAATGTGGTTCAACTGTGTCTCGTATGTAAACCATCATGTGACAACTCTCCACCAATAGGAGTGCAATTTATCCTCCTGATGCATGTGATTCCTCTATTCGATTCTACCGAACTATCACTTCTTGGCAGTGCTATCGTCATGATGTTTTTTGTTTGTGCTCTATTCCCATGTTGTTGTTTTTTAAATTTCATACAAAGGGGAAATATTTTTCTTATTTCACTTTGAAAATGATTTCATTTACTTTCAGCACACTTACAGAGAGGAATTGTTGGCTTTCGTATGTTGGGAGATTAATCATTAGATGAGTTGACCTTTGTTAGGCCTCGAGTTTGGGAGCCCACACATTTTGACTATAGTCTGCTGACTTTGGACAGATTAGCTGTTATACTGTTACAGAATTTGAACATTTTTTGATTTCAATATTGTTATTTGGGTTTACTAACTTATGTTTAGCTAGATTTGTAAATACATATTGTAGTTTAGGATTTTCAGTTAGAGTTTACTTAGTGATATCTTTTGTACTACAATGTTAGATTAGGCTTTGTTATTTTAGGCTTACTTGTCATTCATTTTACTGGTAAATCATAAATTAAGTTAATTATATTGTTCTCTTCAACATATATCTTCTAATAAATTTTTATTGTCAATATACATGTACTTAATTTTATAATGTAAAGAATATTTCATTTTCGTAATTACTTAAATTTTCTGTTTCTTAATTTGTTTGTGAGGACTCCTGAGGTTTTCTTGGTTGATACAGCTTGATCTGTTCTGGATTGATTTTTCCTAACCTAAACTGTGGCAGCTCATGTGGCATGTTCTTCCTTTTCATCGTTTATGTTTCCTTCCATCTCTCACCTTTATTTCCAGTCCGATCTGGATGGCCTTCTTTGTCCTGTACATGCTCTTGGTTGCTTGCTTGCCATAAGGCTTCTTTCTGTTAGTTCCCTTTCCCACAGTTTCATTTTTCCTTGCACCACTCCTCTGTTCATGACTTTTTCCTTTCTCTCTTACCATGTGGATTTGGCTTTTCATACTATTGTTTTTTCTTCCTTGTCTCCTTTTTCCTGTAATTCCTGGTGTCTTCACGGTGATCAGGCACCTTACCTATCTCTTAATTTTCTGGGGCATGTCCCTTTTTTTATTTAAGGATCCCACTCTGTGATGAGTGGTGTCTGTCCAGGTACACTTAAAATATTCAGGTCCACACTGTGAGGCCATGATGACTTCACTACTATGAGTTTCGTGGTCATCCATTGAACTATATCCAGCATTGACTCCAGACTCTCCATCGCATTTTCTTCCATTGGAGTATGTGAGTCTTTACCACTTTCCAGTTCAAGCCACTAGGGTGGTACACCATGGAGGTGTCCTCTTGATTGTCATACTGATATATGATACAAACAATAATGAATACATTCTGTTAATAGTTGGGTGGTGGTGTTCTGCTGGTGTAAATGATGAGATGTCTTCCAGTCTGATGCTCCATCTCTGAAAGAGCTATCAAAATTGCAATTCACCCCTTCCTTTGAAATCCTTCATCCTACCCCCACATGGAGGTTGGTTCCCATTGGCTGGGTTTTGGATTCGGGGGAAGATTCATCAACATAAGTCCTCATACATGTATTATTGGTGTGTCTGTTCCCTTACTCAATTGGCCTCAATTTGTGCTACCCCTCGAAGATTTCCGTTTACCAAGGATTATTTGCATTGGGATGGTTCCTGTCTGATTGGTTTTCAGTGAAATGTCGCACAATACAGGGAGACCTTGATTATTCTGTTTGGATGTCGGCTTTCCCGATCAGTAATTTGTTATTGCTTTGCTCACATGTGCCCATGATATCTCCCTCCATTTTGCCAAATTTGAGTTGAAGATGGTATGATCCTCTTTCCCACCCCCCCACATGGATGTCAGTTCCTGATGACGGGGTTTGGATTGTGGTTGACTTACCGACTTTATGATCCTCATCCTAAACTCTCATGGGTGTTGGTTCCTGGTGGCTGGATTTTGGGTGTAGTTGATTTGCCGTGTATAGTTCATCGTGCCCTAGCCACTCTACACCTTGAGGCACATTCTTTTACTCTCATCCACATTCCTGTCTCCCAAGGGATTGAGATTTTGATATCATATGGTTTGGATTGTTCTCTCCCTTTTTGATGTGCTGCTCTCTTTTTCCACACTGGGTGTAGAGTATACCTGGTACAGATTTGGTGCGGTCTCCTATGTAGAATCCTCTACTGCAAGAATCTCCATTTTTAGGTGCTTTTCGAATGCTTTTGAAGGGTGCTTCTTTCTTTTCCTCGCACTGATCCTTCCACCTGTTCATTGTGGGATTCTAGCTATTTATGTGAGAGGTGGTAGGTTACAGTATCGAAATTTATATTTTCTGATGCTGAAAATGTATTTCCGATAGGTACTTAACTCCATTCACACTTCCCACCCTTCTTCCCCACTGAAAACTAGTGCTTCCATTTTCTTCCAAAACTCGAAGTGATAATCCAGTAGAATGAAATAGAGGGGGTCACATGTATCAGGAGGGTGTGTCGCACTCCTATTGGTGGAGTGTTGTTGCATGATGATTTACATGCAAGATGCAATTGAACCACATTGATCATAGAATAAGTGGGAGCTCAAGGCTTGTTGTGTGTAAAAAGATTTTTGCATATAAAGGCAGCACTGAACAAGAATAGCTATATCTGTGTAAGGAAAATTATAACTTTTGGAGACAGAGGTGTGTTGCTTCCTCCAGTTTTAAGCGTATCTGGGGGAATCTTAAAACTGTATAGATTTTTTTCACCCAAGTGTTTGATTTTAATTATTTTATTAGTCTTTTTCATATTTGAGATTTTTATAAGAGCATGATATGCAGATATTATCATTCAAACTCCAGGGATATACTACTGGAGAAGGAAAGCTATTTATTATTAATATTTAGAAGAGGGTCAAAAACACTGTAAAGCAAACAGTGGCACAGCAATATGTCTGCAGACTTACAATGCTAGAATCCGGGTTTTGACATCCATGGTGGGCAGAGCACAGTTAGCCCATTGTGTTGCTTTGTGCTTAACTACAAACAAAGCAAACACTTTCATACATGTAATCATAAAACATTCCATGTAGACTTACCATGTGATTACTTGATTCAGACAAAGAGTTTAAGAAGTAAAATTAAAGAAAAGCATCATAAATTTAATAAATTTAAATTGACTGGTATGATGGGAGATTTAGAAGATTATAGAAGATCAAGTAAGTTGGTGAAACAGGAAATTAGGACATCAAAAAGATTGGCTGAAATGTAAAAAATTAACAGTAAGGATTTCTTTAAATACATTAACTCTCTCAATACAGGCTCGGTCAATTTGACCGACCACGTGACCGTTTTGTACTCGTTTAAAGTCTTTATAGATTTAATACTTATAACTCTCAATATAGTATGTATATCTTCACAAAAGTCTTTCACATATAAAAAAGTCATATTTCTTAGTGAAGTGTTTTTAATAAAATAAAGTAAAGATTTATACAAAAACATATTTGTTTTAAATAGTCCATGTGCAAAGTAATTTTCATGTTAAAATTAAAAATACTTTTCCTTATCTCAAAAATCTGATTTCCTTTGTGTAATTCCTAAAACCTCCTAAATACATTTCTAATGTATTTTTTCAGTAAAACTTTATTGTTTATCTGTTATTTTCTCTACCCTATATCAAAACGGGATCGGTCAATTCGACTAACCTCGTAACCACCAAAAAAAATTTAAATAAATCTAAATTAATCTTTTTTCTTTCTAGAATGACTTCAAATTGTAACATGAAACTAAATAGCTCTAAGTTCTTAACAGTGTACATCTATTTATAATTAAATTTTATTGTTTTATTGCCTTTTGTACCATTACCGTTCCGTTATAAGTTGTAAATCACTCTGGGAACATGCAGCTCACATTATGCTGTAGAGTTATATTACCCACGAGCTGCTTGCATGCGTGCCTCGTGAACTGTTTTAATTATATTATTATTATTATTACTTACTTTAACTAAAATCTAAAGATACAGATCTTTTAAAGCTATTTAAGACTAAATTAGGTACTTTTATAATAATAAATAAAGAATAAATGTGAAAAAAAGAAATAAAGTACTTACTCAATCTTTTTTTTCTTGTTCTTGACTGTAGAGGACAGTTAAGCCTGATTTTTTATAGTATATTGTAGTAAAGCACTTAATAATATTTAATTAATTAAATAATGCACCAAAGAATATAGACTAATAACATACAAAAGTAGACAAATTCACTTACCTCTCAAAATTGTTCTGGCTTTCTAACTATGCAACAAGAGCCATTACAAATTAATCCAAACTCGTCATTAACTTTCCCACAGGAACAAATCTTGTACTGTGAGTGAAGTTGAGGCTTATCTGTTCAGAACACAACGTTATACAATACGCCATTTGATAGATGAAAACCTTGAGTTTCTATTGGTTATAAGTAATATATAATGAAACATAAGAGAAAACTATCAATTAATTGTGGAAGAGAGGATGTGACAGGTGTGTGTGTGGCAGGAGGGGTCTGATTTTCTAATAGATAGCTCTGTAATCAAACAAAATTGAAGACTAATAATTATGGTTTGCAATAACGATTTTACAGAGTAACTTACGTTTAAGTTCGTACTTTTTCAAGGGGTGGTGGATAAAATAGGGACGATGACATGCTAAGAGAAAATGTGTCATTTGGGTCACACTAGTGGAAAATCAGGATTTTGTGAAATTAAAACTTGTATACTATTAAAATATGGATTATTAGCTTAGATTTTATGCAATTTAATTGGTATAACATAAACAAAGAGTAGTTTAATAAAATTTTGTATATAAGACACTAAAATCTTGTGTCATGCACAGTAAAAGATACTCAGGGTGTGAGGATTATGGGCAAACAAAATGTTAGGATGGGGGTAGTACCCTTGAGGCTAGTATCTGATGATTATCAGATGGCTGGGTTATTAAATTTTGCTTTTTCTTTGTTTTTTACTCACAAAGATTTTAAGCAGTATTCCCCATCATGAACAGTTGATAGATGGAAACAAGATCAAACAAGATGGTTGCATTAATTTGGAGCTGGTTAAGAAAAAAATTGGGAAGATTAAAGAACGATAAGGCTCCCAGGCCAGATAATATTTCCCCAAGGGTTTTGAAGGAGGTTAAATATTGGATATGTGGGACACTTACTACTATTTTTGTCAGTCTTTGAATAGTGAGCAGGTACCCGAGGATTGGAAGTTAGCTAATGTAACTCCTTTTTTCAAAGGAGGTGATCAAAACTGTCCGAGTAATTGTATACTCAATAGTCTTACATCAGTTGTGGGAAAAGTTTTGGGAAGTCTGTTAAAAGCCATCCAAGCAGTGTGCTGTTACTAGTGGTAGGGCAAATAGAATTTTAGGTTGTATCTACAGAAATACTGAATATAAGTCTAAAGAAGTTAGAATTTCATTGTACAGGTCACTCGTTAGGCTACATTTGGAATATTGTGTTCAGTCTTGAACTCCTTACCTTAGGAAGGACATTGAATTGTTGGAAAAGGTTCAGAGACGGGTTACTAGAATGGTGCCTGGGATGGAGGAGTTGTCATATGAGGAGAGGCTGAAATCTATCAAATTGTTTTTACTTGAAAAAAGGGGAGTTGGGGGGGGGAGTCTGATTGAGGTGTTTAAGATTGTAAAGGGAATTGATATTGTTGATGCATCATCTTTTTTTCATATTTAACAGTGAGAATAGTAAGACCAGATGACACAAATATAAATTCTGG